TCTTTGGATCAGGTCCCAGAACATTCCCAGATCTGCAGGACTTGAAAGACCACAAAATTATCTTAAGAACAAAATCCTGATCCTGCTATTTCTTAGATAAATAAATTTAGATGATCTCAGACTGAGATCCAGCCGTGATACATAAATGCATCATCCTGCTAATTTGTGGTAAGGCATTTATTATTTCAAGTCATTAATGAACACATTACTAAACACAAAATCTGTATGGAAATTATAATTACAGCTCTTCTTCAGCTGCATAATTGATTTTTAAAAATTGTTTATTTTATTTTATTGTATCACATTATTTTTATGCAGTAAAATGTGACAGTACCACATGCTTCTGAGTCAGCTGAAAAACATCCTAAACAAAATTGCCATCAGCTTGACCTATCAGGAGCAGGTGAATGGTATCCAATGTGCTGTTCACATCTATCTCCCCTGCTTCTCTTCTGCTTATTTATTACCTGTTGTAATTAAAACAATGAAGGGTAGATGGCTCACACAATGGAATTCTTAGCAGGTAATGTTCTCAGTTAATGACCTGAAATATCAACCTCCATTTCTTTGTCTGCAGAATGAAGAAAAAGTGATGTAATAATGCAGAAGAAAAGAGAGAAAGACAGGAGAGAAACATGATCTATTTTACTTTCTTTATTAATTTTCTTCCACTTTACTGGCTAGCAGCAGAAAACATGAGCTGGGAGGAGAGTTATAGTTCTAGAGATGGACAAACAGATGAATTACATGTTGCTTTTTGTATTCATGAGAAGTTGACTGTCTCAGCACTTTCAGTAATGAATCTTAAACAGCACGTTGTGTCTTATTATATTGGACAAGTCATTTATCTGGAGTATGTGTAAGACTAAATAAGAAAACAGCAAGCTGAGCTTTTTTCCAGACCCAAAGGCTGTATAAACAGTCTCAAATCAATCTTTTTATGTTCTGCTGGGTAAGAAACCATTATGCAATCTGTCTGCATCCTTCACAGCACAGGTCATCATTTGACAAGCAGGGAGGGCCTCATAGCAGTTATCCCCCAGATACAGATGAAAGCTCCATCTGGGCCAGTATCCTGTGCTCAGCACTAACCAGAAGTAAATGCTGAAGAGCAGACAGGAAAAGCATCTATGAGACCTCTCCTGACTACCCTCCTGGCCTGGGGCTACCTTCAGTCCATGGGATTTCCTGAGTCAGGAGTGGTTTACCTACATCTCCCTGGCTGTCTACCAAGTATTTGTCCCATTTTCCCTCCGACACAGCTAAGCATTTTCTGTCCATAACATCCATTGGCAAATAGTCCCACAGGGCTTATGAACTTTGTATGACAAAAATCACTGCTTTCTGCGTGTCCTGAAGTTGTCACTTCTTGGCTTTACTTTGATGGCCCCTGGTTTTTGTGCTGAAAGACAGTCTAGGCTGCAGACCACTCATGGCTCTGCAAACACAGTGAAGTGTTGGCCATAAGTCTCATTAGCGGGCTCTCTCTCCCAAGCTGAAGTGTCCCTGTCTGTTCCTGTTTCCCTATTACAGAAGTCATTTCATATTACAGTTATCTTGGCAGCCCTGCTCTGACTCCTTTCCAGACCCACTCCAGGGAATGAGAACTGCACACAGTATTCAAGGCTGGGGCAAATTGCGGATTTATGCAGTAGCACGACATTTTCTGTTTTGTTCTCACATTCCTTTTCTGACAATTCCTAACTCTCCACATGACTTCTGAGCACTGCTGAGCGCTGACCTGATGTTTTCAAAGAACTTTCTATTCTGATCCTCAGGTCTTGCTCCTGTATGGTAATGGTCAAGAGGTTATGAATCTTCGTGTGAAACTAGGGGATTTTTGCTTGCTATGAGCATCGCTTTACATGATCCATCTTAAAGTCTTTTCAGGTTCTCCTACAGTTTCCTACAAACTGCATTCATCTTTAATCTGCCAAGTAATTTTCTCATAAGCCAATTTACTCATTGTACCATCTGATCTCTTTTCTGGGTCATCTATGAACCTACTCAATGGCAGAATTTTCAGCTTAGTTCCCCATTGAACTGTCTGGGATTGATTCTCCCCTTGCAAGAATTAAATGTTTGCCCCTGTCCTGCATTTCCTATCTGGAATTCAGTTCTTTATTCAGTTTAGGATTTCTCCCTTCATTCCATTCCTTTATTTCCTTAAAAGATTTACTTTAAGGATTTCTCTAAGAGCTGATGGGGAATCAAGTAGATTGTATTACTTAGATCACTTTTGTCTATATGCTTGCTGACCCCTTGAAAAACTCATTAGGGGTTTGCAAAACAGGATTTTCTTTCATGTAATCTGTGCTGCTCTTCCCAAATGGGTCATATTGATCCATATGGCCTCCCATTCCATCCTTTATTACAAACCCTACTTAACTGCCAGTGCAGATGTCCAGCTTACATGTCTGTATAATTGCCCACTCCCTGTATGAAAATCAGGGTACAAGTGCAATACAGTTACTTACATCATGAGCCAGGACATTTTCTTTCTAAATCTTTCTGTCTCTGCATACCTATTGATCAATTCAGTTATTTGTCAGACTGACTTTCTTTCTGTTTCTCTCTCTCACTGGAATACAAGTTTCCAATCTTTACATTTTATCCCTGAACATGAAAACAATGCCCAAGCTGGTGATCATGAGAAAAATTTAACAACTGGTAATATGTTTATAGCAAATTTTAACCTTAAAAGCACTGAATACATTTATCTTACATAATTCATTAATCTAACCCAAACAGGCTAGTAAATACAGATTTACAGTGAGCTGGATATCTCTATATTTGATGTTAAACTTCCATTATTTTTTCTGTTGAATACATTCCCTGAGTTAGATGTGATCATGGACATCTCTAGGATTTATCCCAAGCAAGCTAGAAGTCATATTTGCTCAGTTCCAAGAATCAAAGCCTTTCCCCAAACTGTAAGAAGAGGAGGTTTTAACAGTACCTCAAAGCCCTTGTTTGTTACTGAATTTAGTGTAAGTGGTTCTGCTCTGTGCTTCCACTGGATGTGGCTGCCCAGATGGAAAAATGGACATAAACCAACTCTTCTGTTTGAATCCCAGTCCCTTGTGCCTGCAGGGTCATGTCTGACACAATCATTTGCATTTACATTGTTCTTTCAAAACTTGACACCCCCATTCCTCATGTTCATATCTAACTTGGGAACTGCACCCTCTTCTACATTCTTCCTTCCAAATATTAGAAAAATTTATTCTTTTCCTCAGACCAAGATTTCTCATGTGTGAAGTTGTCTTAAAACCTCACAATCCTGGGACTTCGGCTGTCCAGACAACATTCTGCCAATGGTAGATACAGGATGGTCAGCAACTGCTGGTCAACAGACAGTGGGATTACTTTATCATAGGATGACAATACTTGTCAAGGCCTAGAACTGGTAAATTGTTTTCTGCATCCTAGGATTATTTTTTAATTTCACACCTGCACTGTCCTATATCTTCCTTAATATTCAGTGCTCTTTACAGTTGCTTGCTTTTTAATTTTAGGTTAGCATACTTAATCCTATGAACTCCCAAAGAGTGCTTTACATTTTGCAAAAACCAAACTTCCTGCTACTGGTCTAGCATGGTAACCCTGAACAGAAACCGACCATTTGATCGGTGTTATTGTCATGAATAGGAAATGGAAAAATAAGATACATCCAAGAAATTAAGAATTGCAGATTTTGATGGTTCTCATTGTGCAGCAGAAATCACTGCAAGTTATAGCTACAAAATGCATAAAATACATTAAATCCCAGTTTGGGATGGAAGGTATAATTCACTTACAACCCTCTGTCATGGGCAGGGATGCCTTCTGCTCAGAGTCCTAACCAGCCTGGTCTTGAACACTTGCAGGGACAGGACATCCACAGCTTCTCTGGGCAACCTCTCCCAGTATCTCACTACACCACAGTAAAGAATTTATTTCTAATATTTAATCTAATCCTACTGTCTTTCAGTTTGAAGCCACTGCATGCTCTTGTAAAAAGTCCCTCTCTATCTTTTTTGCAGACTCCCAGCAAGGACCGGAAGGCTGTAATTAGGTCTCCCCTTCTCTTTTCTAAGAAGAGAGAAGGTCTCCCCTTTTCTAAGAAGTAATTAGGGCTCCCCTTCTCTTTTCTATGCTGAAAAGTCCCAAATCTCCCAGCCTTTCCTCACAGAAGAGGTGCTCCATCCCTTCAATCAACACGGTGGCCTCCTCTGGACTCTCTGCAAGGATCTGTGTCCTGCCTGTGCTGAGGACCCCAGAGCTGGATGAGTTATCTCCGGACATTACTGGACTTATCTGCTCAGGTTCAACCCACAACAGACAGACTGAAAAGAAGCTATTTGTAAAACATAGTTATTGTGATGTGCCATGGGGGTCTAAGCATGTCAGGCAACCTTCCCACTGGGATGACTGATAGCTTCATTTTTTAATATAGACCGATTCATAACAGAACAGGAAGCAATGGGCTCAAGTTGAGAGTGTGTTTAGATCGGATAACAGGAATAAATTCTTCCCTGAGAAAGTGGTGAGGCACTGGAGCAGGCCGCCCAGAGAAGCTGTGGATGCTCCATCTCCCGACGTGTGGAAGGACGTGTTGGAAAAGACTTTGAGCCACCTGGTCTAGTGGGAGGTTTCGCTGCCTATGGCAGAGAACCAGATGGTCCGTTCCATCCCAAACCACTCTGCCATTCCGTGTTTCTACGTTTTGCTATTCCCCAGATGGTTCCAGTGTGGAGTTTATTATGAAGCAGAACCTCTGCCTGTCACCGCTTCTATTTCCTACACAGGCCCGAAGAGGGCTCAGAGCTGGCAGACACAGGACACGTTCGAGCACACAATGCCGGGGCGCGGCGGCCGATCCGGCGCAGTCCCGGGTTTCCCTCAGGGGCGGTGAGGGGAGGGGGGCGTGGCTTTGGCCTGGGGCGTGGCTTGGCCGGGGGGCGTGGCTTGGCCGGGGGCGCGGCCGCCCCGCCTCGCGCCTCCCGCCGTACCGCGCAGGCGCGGCTGAGCGGAAGTGGCGCTGGGTGGGGGAGGCGGCGGCGATGGCGGAGAAGTTCGACTCCCTGGAGGAGCACCTGGAGAAGTTCGTGGAGAACATCAGGCAGCTCGGCATCATCGTCAGCGACTTCCAGCCCAGCAGCCAGACGGGGCTCAATCAGAAATTGTGAGGGGCCGTTGTCGGGGGCGGGCCGGGCTGGGCTGCGGGGCCTTTTCCCTCTCCAGGCCCGTGGTGGTGCCTCAGGGCTCTCTCGCTCTCTGCCTGGCTGTCGCTGGCCTCGCACCCACCCTCAGGGGCGGCGCAGCGACCCCGAAACCGGCTAAACCCGACCCGTTTTTCTTCCCGACAGGAATTTCATGGTGACGGGCTTGCAGGATATCGACAAATGCCGGCAGCAGCTTCACGATATCAGCGTGCCCTTGGAGGTTTTTGAGTAAGTCCGTGTGTGTGCCTGGAAGGGGACCTGCTGCAGTCGGTGACTGGAGGTAGTCTGGCTTCGCAGCGTGGCTGTTTTGGCTGTGGGCTGCTTGTCTCAAGCCCTGTCCCTCTGAATGCATCATGAGAACGTGGGCAGGCAGAGGGAGGTCAGAAGTGCCTTCTGCCTGTGAGAAGGCAGAAAGGTAGGAGAGGTCATAAAATATGTACCTGCCTTCATAGAACCACGGGATGCTTTGAGTTGGAAAGGACCTTAAAGCTCATCTAGTTCCAGCTCCCCTGTCGTGGGCAGGGATGCCACCTTACTAGATAAGTTGCTCAGAGCCCTGCCCAGCTTGGCCTTTCAGACTTTTTTTTACTTCTACATATGTAGGCAGTAACACGAATTCTGCCAAATTTAGTGATTTCATAATATCACAGAATGAGTCAGGTTAGAAGGGCCTTCAGGAACATCAGTTTCTAACACCCCTGCCATGGACAGGGACACCCATTTAGTAAGTCAGCTTTCATTTTTAAAAATAGACTTTTACACTAGATTAGGATCAGGATTTAAAGTTCCAAGCGAAAATAAAGTAAGTCAGTACTCAGATGTTTAGTTTCAGAAAATTGCAACATTAAAAGAAAAACCAGCTTAGAGGAAGACCTATTCTAGAGAGCTTTTGTGATATAGCCGGTAAGTTAATTTACTGGTGTTTCATCCAGGTCTAGGCATTGCTGGTCTGCTGTGCTCCAGTGTGCTACTGGCTGTACATTGCTTTTTTCAATTGGGCTTTTACTCCAGCTGTAAATTTGATTCTCTTAAATGTTCTCTCTTGTGAGTTTCCCTTTGCCAGGAATTGTATTGCAAAACAAAATTGCAGATGAGTTTGCTGATACAGTAGTGTTAATTTTTTACTCTTCACTGTGGTATGTGCAGCTCCTCCTCGTCCTTGATTTGCTGGGTGCCATATTCCTGTGTGCTTAATGCTCACCATGTCCTAACTCACCCACTTTCTGCTTTGTGCCCTTCCAGTTGATTGGAAGGGCATCTTCCTCTGATCATCTGTGCTTATAACCTGTGAGGAGCTGGTAGATGTATATATATTTTTTTATGTGCCTTTAATACTTCATTCAAAGCTCTCCTGGCTTTCTGGAAACACAGGTTTGCTGGCCATGGCCTTGTCCTTGAGCTGCCTTTTGGAAATGGCTGAGTTTAACTGTGGTGGTTTTTAAAATGCACATTTCAGACAATGGTAGAAAGAAAAAGGAAGCAAGATGAGTAATTCTGTGCCTTGGAGAGCTTCCCAGTAGGAATATGATCATTTTTAGCAGTGTCTTTTCTGTTTGCAGATACATCGATCAAGGCCGCAACCCTCAGCTTTACACTAAAGAGTGTCTGGAGCGAGCTTTGGCTAAAAATGAGCAGGTGAAAGGGAAAATTGACACTATGAAGGTAAGCCAGAGTTAATGAAAGTGTAATGCAACAATGTATTTGATAAGTTTTTACTTTCCTGTAAGCATTCCTGGGTATGTTTCACTTGTGCAGTTATTAACTTCTGTTATTATGTCATTTGTCTTACAAATTGCTCTGCATCCCTGTATCTTAATTGATGCTGATACAGCCTGTTCAGGAGAGGAAACCTGTAGTTTATCCCACAGTTGGGGATGCAGCTACTGTGATTTTATATTGATTAAAGCTATATGTAGCACTAGAGCTATTTTACTTGGGTTTTTTGCAGATGTGGCATTTTGCTGTGTGCAAATTTAAAAATAAGCAAAACAGAAGGAGTGTTTTTCCAGTCTGGAATGGATAGTAGAGGCTTAAAATGTCAAATATGCTCTATAATCATCAGCCAGTCTTTATAAACTTTGTGAAAATGCATCCCAGTGCTTAGGGGTTTCTTAATTTGTGCTTTCATTTAGTGTGACCCTAAGCATTCTGTGATACTGTTTAACTCCTGGAACTACTGCAGAAAAACACAGTCAGAAAAGGAAGTTTAGTGAGTTCTGAGAATGTTCTTTGGCTGAACTTAGTGTGGAGGATGACAAGTTGTACTGCAGAATGTAGACATATGGAGATAAGTCCTGAGCTTCTTTTTCTTTTCTCTGTGCTTGTGAAATTATGTACTTGTAAGGCAGGTGTGAGTTGCTTTTTTAAGGTGGAGTGGATTCCATATCAAATCAAGAGGACATGTCCTTAATCAGCTTTCTTTAACAAGGTCAGGCAGATATGGGTGCACCAGAGTTCACTAGAGAGGTCCAACTGCTTTGTATTTTTTGGAGAAAATGCAGGTGAATTTCTGGGAATTCACAGACTTGTTAGTTTGCCTCATGCATTCCTCGTGGATTTCACTTGGGCATTTTATGTGCATTTTGTAAATATCATTTTCTTTGTTTGTGTGGTTTTGGGGGTTTTTGGGTACTTCAGTTCACTGAGAGGTGTGTTGGGTACAAACCTGTCTGTTTATCAGGTAACATTGCTTGATGAAATCTAAATAAATTGTCCAGATGATGTATATACATTTATTTTTTTCTCTTTCCAGAAATTTAAAAGCCTGTTAATTCAAGAGCTGACAAAGGTGTTCCCAGAAGATATGGCAAAGTACAAAGCTATTAGAGGAGAAGATCCTCCTCCTTAAGTTGGCCTTTGATAGCTCTAAAAACATCTCATAAACTGACACCATGTTATAAAACATTGATTAGAGAGAATGTAAGCCCTCCTAACAACTGTACTAAAAATGGCAGTGGTGACTGTAAAGGAGCTTCATGGTTGTTCATGGTTCTGGTGTGAAGCTGCTGAATCTTTTTGAAGACTTCTGCTCAGTGATTGTGGTTGAAACTTCCTATGGTAATCTGCTTTTCTTTCCTGGAGGGTTTGAGAAATGTAATTGGTTACAGGTCATCAATGCAGAGCATTTCCCACAAAGTGCATTTCCATAGCAGAAAAACAGGTTGTTTTTTTTTTTTTCTGGAAAATGTGCCTCAGGATTGTGGGCTCATCTGTTTCTTAAGAGAAATATATTTATTACACTTGATTATTTTTCATTTGTAAACTTCAGGGGTTTTTTACTGCAGTATGAACAGTTGACTGCTTTTGTCTTGCCAGATTCTACTGAGCAGGAGCCTGTCAAGGGCTGCAGTTCTCATGTGTCATAATTAGTTGCAGCCAGGAAAACCTTCAGATCTTTTGTTCTAGGAGCTGCAGTGCAGATGGCCAAGGATATAAAACGTGAGCATACCTGGGGACTAGCTCCTCTACAACTTCGATATTTTGTACAGTATTTAATGTAAGGTTTTGTTTATTCATTTTCTGCAAGCAGGTTGTTGAATAAAAATTTGAGAAAATCTGAATCCTGACATTTTTCTTTTGTACGCTTCTCTTTGGAGTGTGAACTGAAAGCTGTGGAAAAAATAGCATATTCTTCAGTTCCACACTGATAGAAATAAAATGTGTATCAAGACTTGGCTCTTAAAATTTTACATCTGAAGGTGGTGTCAGCTTGGCTTATTTGGTTTTATGATGAAAACCTCCATTTTAGTACCTGAAACAGGAGATTTTGGGGATCAGCAATTGTACCTGAAGTCCTGGTTAGCTGTGAGCTCATCTATGGGATCTGTAACTGTTCATACATGAGGGAGCCCCAGTTTGGAACAGGGTGGTGGCTCCTCACCCAGGGATCAGAGGCTTGTGGGGTAGACTGGGTTTGCAGTGGGGGCAAGAGGAGCCCTTTTAGTCTTGAGTATTTGTGAAGCTGGAGCCCTTTGTGCTTATGTTTGTTCTCCCAGATCTATCTTGACTTTTTGCGCCAGCAAATTATTTTATTGCTTTAGCTTTCTTCTGGTTGCTAAATGGAGTGGTTTTGAGTAGGAGCTCCAAGATAGCACTATGTGCATGTGCTGGCCTGCCTACTTGGCTAAGACTTAGCAGGGATGTAGGCATGTTTGGAGTTACTGGTGGCATAGTTTGCACACCCAAAGCACTCTGTGCTCAGTTGCCTGCCTGAGGCACAGCCCATCCGAGATGCCAGGTGCCACCAGACTTTGACATAGCAAGAGGAAAAACAAAACCAAAACTAGGTGTTCCTTTAAACTTGGTTACCTACCAGTCTAGGTTAATCTAATTGTTGCCCTGCCCTACACACTTGCTTGTTCTTGTATTTGTTCCACCTCTAATCACTTTCACCTTCACAATTTTACTGTATGAACTTGGAAAAGTGACAAGGAGAAGGTGCTCCATGTTTGTGTTTGGCTCAGCCTGGATGCCCTGGGTCCCTAAGAGCTGTTGGAGCAAGGTCTGTGACTGCCAAGTGGGATGTATATAGGACACAGGTAAAAAGGATTTTTTGTGTGTGTATAATGTAGTTGGAAAAGGAGCTTAAGAGCAAGATTGTTGACAGCAGGCAGGGGAAACGGTATTTAAATGATAGCTGAGAGAAAATTTAGGAAGCAAGAGGCCTGTAGATACTGGTCTGGGTGCTGGAGTATTCTGTCACCTAGCACTGACACCAGCTTGTGTGTCAGATTTGCTGGAGTAGGACTCTTTTAAAAACACTGGTGCTTCCAAGAAGTCTTACTTATACCTCATATGGATTCATAGAGCCACAGAATAGTTTCCACTGGAAGGGAACTTAAAGGTTATCTAGTTTCAACTCCTCTGCCATGGGGAAGTTGCTCAAAGCCCTCTCCAACCTGGCCTTGAGCACTTCCAGACATGGGCATGCACAGCTTCTCAGGACAACCCATTTTAGTGTTTCACCACCCCCACTGTGAAGAATTTCTTCCTAACACCTCGCCTTAACCTGCCCACTTTCAGTTTGAAGCCACCACCCCTTGTCCTGGGATCAGCTTGGATTTAGAGGGCAGTGAGGGATAAACAGCTCCACAGCCCAGAGGCCCTGAAAATGTGTGAAATGTCTGCTCTGTAAGTGTATTGATTTGTTGTTGTCGTCATTAGTTAATGAATTAAGTGCCCAAAGCTGGCCACAGTGACGATGGCTACCCCATAACACTGACACTCATGCCTGCTGATGAGAAGAAGGTTTCAGGCTTCCCAAGCTCAGAAAGGTCATTTACAGCCAAAGTGTGGATCACATGCTTTCCCTGGATATCTAGGTAGTTGTGGTAAACCTGATGACTGAGCTAGTTACTGGAGATGGAGGATTAGGGTATAACATTAGGCCGCATCATTACAAAATCTCAGCTGCCTGTGTTTTGTGAGGAATCTAAGAAAACTTTTTTCTTGGGCGGTGGATATATACATTAGGAATAAAAATAAATTTAAAAAACCACCAAAAAACAAACCCAGAAAAACTCTTAGTTAAATTATCAGGTTTCATGATAATTTCATGTTTTCTGCTCAGCTTCTGTTCTAACTTTCAATACTTTTTTATTCTATTATTTTATGTTTGCTTCACGTACAATTTCTGGGCTAGCAATTCAAAATATTGCTATTGCTGCAACTGTTCATATTTAGCACAATATTGAAGAGAGGTAAGTCTTGTAAATTATGTTTGTCTCAGACAAGAAAAGGTGGCCAGAATGAGTGTATGTGAGTTAATAATGTAGAATGAGAATTGGTAGAAACAATGGTGCTTTCCATTTCCAGTTGCAGATGGAACAGAAGAAACCTAATTTTTCTCATTTGTTAATTGGCTCTCTGAAAAGCAGCACATGTCTGAATTATCCTGATGTCTGCTTTGTTTGATGCTAACCTTCAAGGCATTTGGTGAAGGAGACTGTTGCATCTCTTTCCCACTCTCTTACCTACATGGTTTGGGGGTGAGATGGAATTTTTTTAGGGATAACATTAAAACAACATCAGCCAGGCAGCAAAGCTTCTAAAATAGATTTTTGTTGGCCTTTAATTATCTCAAAGGAAAGTTTTAAGCCATTCAGGTTTCAAGTGCATCCTTGAATTTTAATAAGAATAATAAGATTTTGGAAATGAAACTGAGTATGTAATTACAGGTAATTATTTTCTTGACAATTATCTTTATAACATACATTGTGAGATGAGAAGATGCTGGATAATGGTGCTCAGTACACAGTTCTTTAAAATGGAGTTTGTGCTTCTCTACTCCATTTAGGATAAAGTCAGTGTAAAATTCTTTTGCTCAGGCAGAGAAAGAAATGGATCAAGAAGATGCTAAGGATTTTGCTGCAACCTGTTAAGGCTCAGCATCCTCTGTCCCTTTTTTTACTGGAAGGAGAAACAATTGAGTGCCCAGCCTTCTGTCCTTGAAACATTTTTTGCTTTAACCTCCTTGTGAAGAACAAGTAATGAAGAGCTATGCAGTCTGACAGAGACAGACATAGATGCTACAGGAGTTGGATGCTGCTCAGCTGTTGGTTTATCCAACCTATAGCTCTTGTTAATTTGTTTTTTTTTTCATGCAGATCAAGGCACTGTCATTGTTAGCCAGTTCTCAGCGTAAGATGAATCACCAGTGTCCCTGAGACAATCTGTTTCTCTCATACCACTCAGAAGAGTCTCTTGATGGCAAAAAAAGTCGTCTTAGGCAGAGCAGTTTGGGTTTCAGTGGTTGACCTTTCTAATTTGGTTGGATGAACTGCTAAGTGGTGGGAGTGGTTTGACAATTTCCCAGATATTTCATCTTGTGATGTTTTTATAAATTGCTTTCTTGATGACTGCTGTTCCTAAGTGATTGAAAGTGCTTATTGTGTGATTCTAACAGTTACCCCAGGTACTCTATAATCTCATCTCTGATCACGGAAATAGAGCAGATAAACCCTGCAATCCACTTCTTTTTGCCCTAAGTGATCTTTGAGATTTTAACTAGATCACTTAGAAACTAGTCACTGAACTTGTAGTTTTACTGAAACCGTGCTAAATAAATGTATTTAAAAGGTGAATTCTATAAACAAAGACTTAAAAACCTATAAGAAGTGTTCCAAACACTTATCTTAACAGCAAGTTCATAATAGAGAAATATCCCTGCCAAGAATATTTCTGGATACTCATGTTTCAACACAAAGTCATTTCTTACTCTACCATGATTAATAGCTGCAGCATTTCTGGGCAGGTGCCAGATGTCCTTCCAGCTCTGCAGAGCAGAGAGCCAAGGTGACACGAATATCTGCCCTGCTCTGAGAAAACTCTGCTTGCTGCATGTATTTCAATTACTTCCATATGCTTAAGAACCTTCTGTATATTTTCTTAATTAAAGTAATGGAGAAGTGAGCACACAATAAAGGATACTTCTGTAGCAGCTCTTGCAATTATCTTAAGTCAGGAATCTGTATTTTCTGTATTGTGACATATTTCATACTGAGAACTAGATTGTATTTAGTCTCAACAAGATGTAATGCAGACAGTAAAAATGAAACATCTTTCTGCACAGTATGAAAATTTCCAAAACAATTCTTTCTCCTCTCTTGGAAGAAAAGTCCCTTCATGTGCTAAGGAATGGCACTTAAAATTTCTTTTCCTACAGGCCTGACCTGAATCTACTTCACTTGCTGTTTGCAATTTCATAACGTTAGACAAATTTTTCCAAATATTCCTCAAAGGAAGACAAAGCTGCTTTTATATATAATCTGGGAAAAGGTACTTCAAATTAGTATCATGCTGCATTATTTAACAAGTTACTTGGGCAATATTTATATCATTTCTGCAGCAAAAAAACCCCAACATGCTAATGGTTGACATTCATAAACTTTTCTTTGG